AGGGAGGGAAGGGAAAATCCCATCAAACCCGAATCCCGTCCCAATCCCATCGAATCCCATCAAATCCCATCAAATCCCATCCCGATCCCATCCCGATCCCGTCCCGATCCCGTCCCGATCCCATCAAATCCCATCCCAAACCCATTTCCAATCCCATCTCAATCCCGTCCAAATCTCATCCCAATCCCATCCCAATCCCATCAAAATCCCAAATCCCAATCCCATCCCAGTCCCATCAAATCCCATCCCAAATCCCAATCCCATCCCAATCCCATCCCATTCCCATCAAATCCCGATCTCATCCCAATCCCATCCCATTATCCCATCCCAATCCCATTTCCCATCCTGTCCAAATCCCATCCCAATCCCATCAAATCCCATCCCAATCCCATCAAATCCCAATCCCATCCCAATCCCATCTAATCCCGCCCAAATCCCATCTCAATCCCATCCCAAATTCCAAATCCCAATCCCATCCCAATCCCATCCCAGTCCCATCAAATCCCATCCCAAATCCCATTCCCAAATCCCAATCCCATCCCAATCCCATCCCAGTCCCATCAAATCCCGATCTCATCCCAATCCCATCCCATTATCCCATCCCAATCCCATTTCCAATCCCGTCCAAATCCCATCCCAATCCCATCAAATCCCAATCCTGTCCCAATCCCAATCCCAATCCCAATCCTAATCCCATCCCAAATCCCATCCCATTATCCCATCCCAATCCCATTTCCCATCCCGTCCAAATCCCATCCCAATCCCATCAAATCCCAATCCTGTCCCAATCCCATCCCAAATCCCAAATCCCAAATCCTAATCCCATCCCAATCCCATCCCATTGTCCCAATCCCATCCCACCCCACCTCACCCCATCCCACAATCCCACGGGATCCCACAATCCCACAATCCCACGGGATCCCGTTATCCCATCCCGGCCCTCCGGCATTCCCACCTTTCCTCGGGAACGCGATCAGCGACGTCTCGGAGTCCCCCTGGAGCCGGCAGTAGCCGTCGATGAGGTCGGCCATGTTCTCCGCCTCCGCCAGCGACGACGTCCGGATCGCCAGCGACTTGGGAATTCCGGGAATTCCCGTCGATCCCGCTTTTCCCTCACCCCCAATCCCGCTATTCCCGGCCACCAATCCCACTATTCCCACCCACCCAGGACAACGCAAAGCATTCCCGGCGCCGGGCGGGAATGCTCCCAAGTTTTGGGGAGGACACGAGCGGGAAACGGAGCTCAATCCCGGGAAATCCCGGGAAATCCGGAGCTCGGCATTCCCGGGAATTCTCCTGACCTGGGGGTTCCCGCTGAGCGCCAGCTGCAGCAGCGCCTGCCCGTCCTCGGCCGCCGAGCAGCGGATGGATCGGATATCCCGGAATTCCGCCAGGCAGGTGGGCTGGGAAAACACGGGGGGTGGAGAATCCGTCGGGAATTCCATCCAAGGTGAGTGGGATCGGCCGCGTCCGGAGCGATTCCCGGCCGGAATTCCCACCTTGGAGTCCTTGGCGGTGAGCTGGCGGATGCCCTTGGGGCCGATGACCAGATCCACCGTGATGTTCCACCCTTGCTGCGCGCGGAGGGAGCGGGAAAGGCCGGGAATTCGGGATCAGAACAGGCCGGGAATTCGGGATCAGAACAGGCCGGGAATTCGGGATCAGAACAGGCCGGGAATTCAGAATCAGGAGAGACCGGGAATTCGGGATCAGAACAGACGGGGAATTCGGGATCAGAACAGGCCGGGAATTCGGGATCGGAACAGGCCGGGAATTCGGGATCAAAACAGGCCAGGAATTCGGGATCAGAACAGGCCGGGAATTCAGGATCAGAACAGGCTGGGAATTCGGGATCAGAACAGGCCGGGAATTCGGGATCAGAACAGGCCAGGAATTCGGGATCAGAACAGGCCGGGAATTCGGGATCAGAACAGGCCGGGAATTCGGGATCAGAACAGGCCGGGAATTCGGGATCAGAACAGGCCGGGAATTCGGGATCAGGACGATCCCAAAAGAGCAGGAGAGACTGGGAATTCGGGATCAGGACCGGCCAGGAATTTGGGATCAGGATGATCCCAAAGGTCCCGTCCTGTTTCTGTAAAATCCCAACACCGTCCTCATCCCATCCCATCCCATTATCCCATTCTGTACTGTCCCATCCCATTATCCCATCCCATTATCCCACCCCATCCCATAATATCTCCATAACAGCTGCCCCATTCCCACTGAACTCCACCCCACCTCATCCCAAATCCCAAATCCCAAATCCCAAACCCCAAATCCCAAATCCCCAAATCCCAAATCCCCAAATCCCAAACAATCCCGGGAATGTCACCCACAGCGAGCTGGCAGCGGAAGCTCTCCTGCTCGATGGGGGCGCAGGCGCTGAGGGTCAGCAGGAATTTCAGGACGCACTCGGCAAATCCCGAATCCCAAATCCCAAATAATCCCAAATAATCCCAAACAAATCCCAAACAATCCCGGGAATGTCACCCACGGCGAGCTGGCAGCGGAAGCTCTCCTGCTCGATGGGGGCAGCAGGAACTTGAACACGCACTCTGTGTATCCCAAATCCCGAATCCCAAATCCCAAATAATCCCAAATAATCCCAAACAACCCCAAACAATCCCGGGAATGTCACCCACGGCGAGCTGGCAGCGGAAGCTCTCCTGCTCGATGGGGGCACAGGCGCTGAGGGTCAGCAGGAATTTCAGGACGCACTCGGCAAATCCCAAATCCCAAATCCCCAAATCCCAAATCCCCAAATCCCAAACCCCAAATCCCAAACAATCCCGGGAATGTCACCCACGGCGAGCTGGCAGCGGAAGCTCTCCTGCTCGATGGGGGCGCAGGCGCTGAGGGTCATCAGGAATTTCAGGACGCACTCGTCCTCGCGCAGCTGCGCAAACTGCTGGAACGTCTGCTGGATCATCCGACGCAGCTGCCGCGGCTGCCAACGACAACGACAACAGCCGGAATGGCAACAGCCGGAATTACAACCGGAACTACAACCGGAATGGCAACAACAACCGGAATAACAACCAGAATAACAACAACAACACTGGGAATTACAACAACAACGGGAACGGCAACAAGAACAACCGGAATGGCAACAGAAACAACCGGAATAACAACCGGAATTACAACAACACTGGGAATTACAACGACAAACGGAATGGCAACAAGAACCGGGATAACAACAACAACAACCGGAATAACAACCAGAATTACAACAACAACACTGGGAATTACAACGACAATGGGAATGGCAACAACAACAACCGGAATGGCAACAACAGTGGGAATAAGAACAACAACAACAACGGGAATGGCGACAGGAATAACAACAGCAGGAATGGCAACAACAATAATGGGAATAACAACAACAATGGGAATGGCAACAACAACGGGAAGAACAACAGCAAAACAACCAGAATAACAACAGGAATGGCAACAACGACGGGAATGGCAACAGGAATAACAACAATGGGAATAACAACACCGGGAATGGCAACAACAGCAATGGGAATGGCAACAACTACAGGAATTACAACAACAACAACGGGAACAGCAACGGGAATGGCAACAGGAATAACACCGGGAATAACAACAACAACGGGAATGGCGCCGAGAACAACGCCGGGAATAACAACAATGGGAATGGCAATGGGAATAGTGCCGGGAACACAGCTGGGAACACTGGGAATAACAACACCGGGAATGGCACTGGGAATAGCAACGGGAACAGCGGGAATGGCATCGGGAACAGAGCCAGGAATAGCACCGGGAACAGCACCTGGAATACCACCAGAAACAGAACTGGGAACAGCACCGGGAACAGCACCGGGAACAGCACTGGGAACAGCAGGAATGGCACCGGGAACAGCACCGGGAACAGGACTGGGAACAGGACCGGGAACAGCACCGGGAACAGCACCGGGAACAGCACCGGGAACAGCACCGGGAACAGCACCGGGAACAGCACCGGGATTAGCAACGGGAACAGCACTGGGAACAGGACTGGGAACAGCAGGAATGGCACCAGGAACAGCACCGGGAACAGGACCGGGAACAGGACCGGGAACAGCACCGGGATTAGCAACGGGAACAGCACCGGGAACAGCACCGGGAACAGGACTGGGAACAGGACTGGGAACAGCACCGGGATTTGCAACAGGAACAGGACCGGGAACAGAGCTGGGAATAGCACTGGGAACAGCACCGGGAACAGCACCGGGAACAGCACTGGGAACAGCACCGGGATTTGCAACAGGAACACGACCGGGAACAGGACTGGGAACAGGACTGGGAACAGCACCGGGATTTGCACCGGGAACAGCACCGGGAACAGCACTGGGATTTGCACCGGGAACAGCACCGGGAACAGCACTGGGATTTGCAACGGGAACAGGACTGGGAACAGCACCGGGAACAGCACCGGGAACATGGATGGAATCAGGCAGCAGGAACACTGGGAACAGCACTGGGAACAGTGTCAGGAATGGTGCCGGGAATGGCACTGGGAACAGCAGGAACAGCGCCAGGAACAACGCTAGGAACAGCACCGGGAATG